CCCATCTATCCATCCACCCTTCTGTCCATCCATCCATCCATCTACCGGTCTGTCCATCTGCCCATCTATCCATCCACCCTTCTGTCCATCCATCCTTCCATCTAGCGGTCTGTCCATCTGCCCATCTATCCATCCAACCTTCTGTCCATCCATCCTTCCATCTAGCAGTCTGTCCATCTGCCCATCTATCCATCCACCCTTCTGTCCATCCATCCATCCATCTCTCCATCCATCCACATATAAGCCTAGAAGGATTCCTGGAATGTAGTTTGCCTAATGTTACTGACAATTATTTCTGGATGATGGCATTTGGAATAATTATTTTAACATTAATCTTTATGCTTTACTGCATTGCTTGAATTCCTTAAAACAAACAGTATTTCTTAAAAATGAAGACCAGGATGAAATATGCCGAGAAGCACACGAGCAACAGAAATCCATGCCGCGTCCAGTGGTGGTGAAGCAGAGCGGGAAACAGGGACAGGGAGTGCCTGCTGGCAAGAGTGGTCTTTCCGCCGCCCTCCTCTGCGTGGCAGCTGGTCCCTGCATTGCTCTGTGGTTCATTTCAGTCTCTAGAAGTGGCTCCAGGTCTTCAAAGAGATGTGACCCACATGGATGCTTTTTGTGTTGCCACCTTCAGGAAGACTTGACCCAGTTAATTGACTTGTCTTGAGGATCATTGATATCAGCAACCATCAGAGCTGGAAGGGCCATGGCAATGAGCTGGTTTGTCCCCACATTTACCAGTGGGGATCTCGGCTATGAAGAGTTAGTCCCCTGCCTCAGGAAGACGTGAATCTGCAGGGTGCTTATGAAGTCAAGGTTTATCCATCATTTACTCCTAGATGTCTGTTGGTCACTTTCTCTGTTCCAGAAAGTGGGTTAAATGCTGGAGATACGCACGTGAGACTGACCCCATCCTAACACCTAGTTGGAGAAACACATGGGAAATTGGACAGTTGTAGTAGAGTTGGTTAAAACCAGTGGGAGATCAGAGGAGAGGCACCTGTCCCAGAATGTGGCTTCCAGAAACGCCAACACTTGTGTAGAGACCAGAAGCATGAGTGGAAGAGAGCAGTTTGGGGAAAAGCGTATTCTAGGCAGAAGGAAGCATATATGGAAGGGCACGCCAGCCCAGGAGAGCGGGGTCATTCAGGGAAGAACAGGTTGTTCAGTATGATGACGGGGGGAGGCTGCTGGAAGAGGAGGGTCGGGTCATGGAAGGGTAAGGAAGGAGGTTTGGTATTTAGAGTTACATCTTTCCCATCACTTCACTAAAAGCGTTGATCAAGGTCATAAGTGACCCCATGTTTCCAAATCCAGTGGTCAAGTCCCTGTCTTTGTCTTTCTCGACCTCTCTTTGGCACTTGGCCCACAGCCCCCTTCTTGAATACCTTCCCTCCTTGGCTTCCAGTACCCCAGACACTGGGTTCTCTCCTGCCCCGCCAGCTGCCTGTGGTGAGGCCCCCCTGTTGGGTGCTGCTCTGCATCATGGCCCGTGGATCTTGGGTGCCTGAGGGTCCTTGGACCTCATTTCCTCTCTGTCTACATTCACTCCCTTGCTGATGTCATCTACATATTACCTCCTAATCCTGTCTCCACACCTCTGCCCTGAACGTGAGACTTGACATCCCCATTAGTGCATCTATGGAACACGTGGCTTAACCTGTCCAAACAGAACCACAAGTGGCTGACATTCCCCTCTCCCAAACTCGCTCCACTCCATTCACCCAGCAGCTCAAGTGAAAGGTGATGGAGTCATCCTTTATTCCTCTCTTTCAGTGAAATGTGTTGGCTCTACCATCACTGTTTTCCAGATCTGATCCCATCTCCCCACTTCCCCTTGACCTCTGCTTCACTCGGCCACATCTCCTGAGATACTCTCCCTGCTACCTCTCTGGTCGTAGATGGTCCATTTTCCATGTATCATGCAATGTGCTCTTTTGAAAATGAAAATCAGCTCATGCCACTCCCCTGCATAAAGATGGCAAGTCCCCTGAGTGACTTGCCATCTCACTGTGAAGACAAGCCAATATCCTCACCATGGTGAAAAGGCCCCCTATGAGCTGCCCTCCTGCCACCCTTCCAGCTTATCTCCCTCCACTCTCCTTCTCAGAGGCTCCATGCCAGCCACACTGGCCTCCCCTGTCTCGGTCAGACGTGCCAAAGTCATCCCCACTCAGGGTCTTTGCCCTTGCCTTCTGGAATGCTCTTCCCTTCCATATGCCCCTGGCTCACGTCTTCACTTCACTCAGGTCTCTACTCAGATGTCCTCTCTTCCCTGACCACCCATTGCCCTCTGTCCCTCTATCCTGCCTTGGTTTCCCTCCTGGCACTTACTTACCACTCCCCAATGCAGTGTTTACCTATCTTTTTGTAGGCATACCTCTGTCTCTCTCGCCTGACTGCAAACCTCGTGAAGGCAGTGGCTGTGTCTGTGTTACTCACTGCTCTGTCTCCAGGACCTGGAACAGGGTCTGGCGCCTAGTAGGTCTCCACTGTAGTGTTAGTTGAACGAATAAATGAATAAATGTACTAGTAATATGGCATAATGGCCACCAGACGTGTCTACATTCTAATTCCCAGAACCTGTAAATATGACCTTATATGGCAAAAGGGACTTTGCAGATGTGATTAAGGATCTTGAGATGGGGAGATTATCCTAGATTATCCCAGTGGGCCCTAAATGTCATCACAAGGGTCCTTATAAGAGGGAGACAGGAGGAAGCACAGTCAGATGAGAAGGCCATGTAACAATGACAGAAGCAGAGTTTGAAGGATGGGCTTTGAAGATGGAGGAAGGGGCCAGAAGCCAAAGGATACAGGCGGCCTCTAGAAGCTGCAAGAGGCAAAGAAACAGATGCTCCCCTGGAACCTCCAGAAGGAACCCGCCCTGCCAACACCTTGACTTTAGCCCAGTGACACTGACTTCAGACTTCTGGAGAATAAATGTGTATTGTTTTAAGCCACTAAGTTTGTGGTGATTTATTACGGCTACATTAGGAAACTCATGCAAATACCGTAACAACAGCAGCAGCCAGCACTCATCCAGTGTCCACTGTTTGTCAAGCTCTGCCCTTAGATGCTTCGTAAAGTCAGAAGTCTTTTTAGGTGAAAGTAACAGAAATTCATTTCAAACTAGTCTAAGTATAAAGGAAATGTATGGATACCCTGAATGTCCCCAAAAGAGCAAGGCTGAGCTCCCGGGGCTCAGATGGTCTCGGCTCCTCCATCCCTCTCCTCTGTTTCTTTGTGCCACTTGATGAGCTTTTTCCACACAGGAAGGGACGTGGCAGCTGGCAGCCCTGAGCTGGTGGCCTTTCAGCGTCCAGCCATCCTGGCTTTGCTGTATAAAGTGCTTTTCTCTCTTGGCTTTGCTGTAGAGAATCAGGGGAGGTCTCGGATTGCCCGAGCGGCCCAGTGTGCCTGCCCCGTTGCTGGGAGAAGTGGATGTGGTTTGTGTTTTCCCAGCGCAGAACAGTTCTATTCTCTCTTCACAAAACCCTCTGACGTAGGTACTATTGTTTCCCCATCCTACAGATAAGGAAGCCAAGGCACAAAGAGAAGTAAGGACATTCTTAACTTCTGGGAGCCAGCGTGGGTTCTGGGGAGCACAGAGCCTGTCCTCTGTCTCTTTCTTTTTTTTTAACCCTTTATTTTGAAATACTTTTAGATTCACAGGAAGTTGCAAAGCTAGTGTTGAGAATTCCAGTGCCCCACCCCATGTTTCACTCAGTTCCCCCCAGTGGTGCCATCTTAGAAAACTCTAGCCCAATATCAAAACCAGGAAATTGGCATTGCTGTAAAAGGTATATATAGTTCTGTGTCATTTTATCACATGTAGTTTTGTGTAACCAACACCACAATTAAGTTACAGAACTAGTCAGTCACCGCAAAGATCTGCCCTAGGCCACCCCATTATAGTTATATCCATTCCTCTCCCCCCAGTCCCGAGCTCCTGGTAACCACGGCTCTGTTCTCCGTCTCTCAATTGTGTCAGTTCTGGAATGTTTACTCATGGAATATTGCAGGGTTGTAATTCATGGTATGGCCACAGCACAGTTTCTTTAACCATCCAGTGGTTTAGGGACATTTCAGCTGTTTCCAGAGCCTGCGCTGTTCCCTCCGTGCCATCTCGCCTCGGGGAACGCGAGGAGGAGAAGGAGGAAGATGACTAATTGGCGCTGCTGTGGGCCAGGGCTTTAGCTGTGTGAGTGAGTGGAGAGAGGTTGGAAGGGATGGGTGAAGGCTCTGCAAATGCCACAGGGAGCCGAGGCTGCTGACCAGGTAGACTGTTTTTGACAGCTCTGTGAATTTGAGAACATGTTTTGAAGACCGAGCTACTAAAATATTTATCTCCCTGGGACAGAAAGTCCTAAGACTGTAATCCATTAAAACTTGGTGTTCATCCAGATTCAAACAGTGAGGGTTGAGCTCCCTGCGTTTCCTCCTCTAGGAGCTGAGACTGGCGTCGTACCTCTCCAAGCTGACGATGGTGCCGGGGGGCACCCTGCGCCGGCTGCTGAGCGTGGCTCTGCCCGCAGCCTCACAGCCCGAGCTGCTGGCCGTGCTGGACTCCGTCAGCCAGAAGCATCAGGACCATGCGGGGGAGAGTGATGGCAGCGGCGAGCAGGCGGACCTGGGCAGGAGGGGGTGAGTGCAGAGTCCGCTGCCTTGGGAAACGAGGGAGTGAGGTCCCAGGGAGAGAACGGAGGGAGGAGGGAAGCTGGACCCCCGCAGGCACACGCACACACGCCTTCCCCAGCTGGAACGTCACTGCTATGGAGCAAACAGCATCCAGAAGAGCTGCCATGAATCCTTTTTAAGTCATGGTAGGTCCAAGTATTTTTCGAGTAGAATCTTAGGAAAGTAAGTTTCCCCAGGCTGTAAATATGCCATATACACCCATTCAAGAAAGTGTAAAAAATACATAAAGGGAAAAAGAAATATCCCTGGTTCTACCAGCTGGAGAAAATGGCTGTTAGCATTTTGTTACAATTCTTCCTCCAGAATGTGTTTCTCTGCTGGATTTTATGAGTGTGTGTATTGTGTGTGTGTATGAATACGTGCGAGTATTTGTGTGTGTGTAGTAATCCCAGTATGTACAACCTGACATCCTGCTTTTCAGAACATTATAGCAGAAGCAAGCTTGCTTATTACTTTTCAACTCTTGTCCATGTGCAGACGTCTCTTAATACAATAATTACCACACTATTTGGACTATATTTCTGCTATTTCTATTAACAATTTAAAATTCCTACTTTTCGCAGTTACTGAAACACCTCCACAGATATTATTATTAACAGCTGCCTAATATTCTGCTGGGGTGTGTAGCGTCGTGCGTGGAGCTGTGACCCTGTGACTGGACATTTAGCTTGGGTTCGTTTTTTTCCTCAATTGTGGATAATGCTGTGCAGATGCTTTCCTTTAGGATCAGGTTCCAGGTGTGCATTTGTTCAGTAAACGCTCTTTGTAAGGAAAGGCACGCAGCGGGGTGTGGAGTAAGGCGGGTCTGGGGAGCAGCCAGTGGTGCCACAGGAGAATAGAGTTTGTGGAGGTCGAGGCGGCAGGGAACGCCGGAGCAGACGTGAAAGTGTTGAAGCTGGCGTCCTCAACAGGATCCGTGAAGCCGCGGGTGGGCGTCTCAGAGCCCATGAGTCTGCCAAAACGGCAAGATTGAGTGGACAGGCGTGCATGTACATTATTTTTCCTAAGAAAAGGGGCAGTATCTTTTTATCAGAGTCGTAAAGGGGACCCTGACTCAAAAAGGTGAGAAACACTGCTGAGGGCTAAGAGCAGGGCTGGGGTGAGAGGAAGGGTGGGACTGTGGGAACACAGCTGTGAGGTGGGGTGGGAGTCCGCAGGGGCTGGGAAGTGGGGGCCAGCACAGTCAGGGGGCTGTATGGATGTGGTGAGAGCGCTAGATGTGGGCAGGGTCAGGGAACTGGGTGTGGTGAGAGACCTGGATGGGATCAGAGGACTGTGGGTGTGGGCGTGGTCAAAAGCCTGGGTGTGGGTGTGGTCAGGGCTGGGTGTCAGCTGGTCGCAGAGCTGGGTAGGAGTGGGGACAGGGGCTGGTGTGGGCGTGGTCAGGGCTGGGTTGGTCAGGGAGTTGCATGTCACAATGTGGTTTCTCTCAGTGCATAGCCAGCGCAACATACGCAGATGGTAGGTAGATGGTAGGTAGATGGAGGTGACCCTGGAGGAGGAATGCGCATGGTCACAGGGGAGCCATGTCTGCCTGAGGGCCACCCAGGAGGACCTTGTTTACAGGGCTGCCCCTCTGGCCAGTTTAGTTTGGGAGGCTGGTGGGCGGCATGGGCAGGCTGATGTGGGGCAAGCCGAGAGCACCCAGGGTGGCTGTCACCATGAGGGTGGAGCGTGGGCATGCCCTTTCCTTGCCCGGCCTCATGGCCAAGGGGACTGGATGATTTCTGGAGTCCCGGGCCCCCGGCCATGGTCTCTGAGGGCAGGGCAGCCACTACTCTTGTGTCCCATGTGCCTGGCGCCTGGTCACATCATCAGTTCAGGTTCCTGTGTTTCAAGAACAGAACCTGACTGACTAATCTCAGCAAGAAAGGGTGTACGAGGGACCTGTCAGAATCCAGGAAGAGCTGAACGCCAGGTCCCGGGACGGGCAGGACCCAGAGTTAGACTCCTGGGAGAGAAAGCCTGGCCCCTCTGGAAGAGGGTCCATCTCCACCACCAGCGGGCTGTGTGAACCAGCCGAGGCAGAGTATGAGCTTGGCCAGAGCCGGGCACAGACAGGACTCTGGTTCCACACTCTCCTTTATTGACTTGACTTGAGCCCAAGGCCCGTGCACGCCTCCCTCCTCTGGCTCTCCTATGCAACACTCTGCACTGTCCCTTCTCCTTCAGTCGAGAATCACACTCCTGCACATGCATTAGGGCCCCTTGCCCACCCTCCAGGCCTCCACTGTGCCCTTTCAACTTTCTCATTCATATATTCATAAAACGCTTACTGAGTTCCTGGTCCGTCCACTGTCTTCGGCACCAGTGTGGGTGGGAGAGTAAGAGAGAGAGTCCCGCCACACGGAGCATGCTCTCCAGTGGGGGGTAGACAACACAGAAGCCAAGGTCAGGAGCCCATTCCTTCGTGAATGCTCCATGCACTCCCCTTGCTGGGATGCCAAGACTCAGCTCAAGTGCCCCCACCTCTAGGCCTCCTTCTTCTGTATGAGTGACATCACCTCTTACCTGTCTGTGACCCCTGCACTGGGGACCCCTTGAGAGCACAGAGTGTGTCTTGACCGAGCTGGAGAAGGTGCTCCGTCGATGTGTGTTGAATGAGTGCAAGAACAAACGGTGGAAACTGTCAGAGTTTCTGGTGTCAGCCAAAGGTCGTGTTGAGGGATTCAGCCCTATAGTGCTTTGTAGGATTATGGATCACTCGGAGAGTCTATTCTTTTTGAAATATAAGACACTTCTTGCCTTCAGGAAACACCAGGCCTGGTGGCAGGCCTTAGAAAGCAAACTGCGAGGAGAACTGGTAAGCAGAGGACTGGAGAAGATGCTCTGGGCTCACAGGAGGAAGGAGAGGTAATGACGGCATCCACTAAGGTGGGCTGGGGAGGAGGTCAGCCAAGTGCCTGTGAGAGGGATGGGGAGGTGGGGGGACTCGGAACTGGGGGTTACTACAAACATACCAACATTCCTTCCCTAGAGACCAGTCTTTACTCAAAGTGGGCTCAGTTCAGGAGCTCCGGATAAGCCTCTAGCTGTCAGTGGGCGAGTGTTCTCTTATCATTGATCAGCATTTCAATTACTGTATTTATTTTAACTGATGGCTGTTTTTAAATGGGGTATCCTTAGAAGGAGAATAATTCCTTATAGTTGTGCAGACTTTATAGTTTACAAAGCCCTTTCCCTTCTGTGGCACTGAGCCTCCAGCCCTCCAGAAAGTGGGGATGATGAAGCGGGAGCTCGGGGGGTCCACTGAGGAGGCCCCCAGCCTGCAGCTGGCCAGCGGGGCCAGGGGATTTGGGGCCAGCTAGCTCAGCCCCTTATTTCCCTCAGCTGCCAGGTGGGGCTGTTTTCATCTGTCAAGTGCCTTTCTCTCTAGCTGTGGCTACTGCACACCTGGAGAGCGGAGGAAAGTCAGGGGCGGAGTGGTTTTAGATTGCTGCACACAGTTGACCAGTGTCTCCAGTGCTTCCTGCTAGAGAAGACTGGGGAAAAGAGTAACCCCGGGCAGATTCCTAACGGGCTAATACATGGTATCCAAAGTGTGCTCTGGAGAGAGTGGGTGCCCAAGGGAAGGGTCGAGCCTGAGTCCTGCCCCTTCCATGACTTCTCAGAGCCAAGGGGAAGGTGCTGAGACCAGGCTTCCTGAATTGTCCGTGATAAAAATCTCGGAGCCGCTGATAATAGGCTGGATATCAGAATTCAGTCCCAAAGAACTTAGGACAGGATGTTAGCCCAAACCAAGAACATGCAATTCAAGCTGTATTGATGTAAAGTGCTCCACTAAGAAACAGAAGTCAATTGCTCAAGATTAGGATGGGAGAGCGAAGGCATCCTGGGCTGCACTAATGTAAGTGGGGTGAGCACAGATCAGGAGAAGCGCTGGTTGCACTGTCCTGGCTGTCTGCACTAGCCCCGGCTCTGCCTGGAGGCCTGTGGACTGATGATAGAAAGAGGAGAGACTGTGAATCAGACAGAGCTGCCTTTGAGTCCTTGCTCAGATTCATACTAGCTGCGAGGGCAGGAGTTAGTGGTGATGGCCGTGGAGCCTCATCTGCCACGTCTGTTGAGGAAGGGCCAGCCAGCCTGCCAGTGCCTTCCAGTAGGTCGACCCCCAGGGACATGGCCTCATCCTGCACTGCTTGGGCAGAGAGAGAGCCCTGTGGCTTTCAGGTTGTGTAGGGCTCTCAGAGGGTGTCATAGAAGGGCAGCCTGGATGTAGGGGCTAGACCGCTCATGCACAGGATTCCAGCAATCCTTTTACATAAAAGGACATTCCCAAAGTGTGTCCCTCTGTTCTATTTCAAACACAGTTTGCCTAACTTCTGTTAACTTTGTTATCAGGTTTTACCAGCCTGCTTTTAGCATGAGGCCCCCAGGCAGTGGTGTCCTGGTAGATGTTTAACAGTTGGCTGGTGGGGGGAGGGACGGGAGCTCTGATGTGTAGCACTTGCCAACATCCATGGTGTGAATACTCCCACTCTGACTGATTTCAAGCTAACACCATGATGACAACAGGTTCGCAAAACTCCTGAAAATTTAACAGTCATGAGTGGATGAGAGTTGTCTGCGGCAGGCCACTGCCACAGGCTCCAGCTGATTTCAGGGACAATCTGGTGACCAAAGAGAAACACGTTTTCCTAAAATGACCCCTGATTGGGGACCTAGGGACCAAGAGGGGGTTCTCCTGGAGACCTCTGTTAGGATACTCAGGAGGGTCTGTTGTCAGAAATGTGGACTCTGATCTTCTGTTCTTTCTTCAGCATATTAAAGAAGACCTGTCCCCCTCTCAGGGAGAGGGTGATGTTCTTGGGAGAAGAAAGCTGGCCACACCTGTCACTGGAGTCCATTGGCGAACTGGCCCCCGTGCCCATTGTAGGGGCAGACACCGTTGATCTACTGAACACGGGCGAAAAGCTCTTTATATTCAGAAATCCAAAAGAGCCAGAGATCTCATTGCACATTCCTCCCAGGAAAAAGAAAAAGAACTTTCTGAACGCCAAAAAGGCCGCCTGGGCCTTTGGCCTTGACTAGCCCGAAGGAAGCTCCAGGGAGAGTCTGAAGACAGCAGACTTGTTGTTTTCTCCTGCCCGCCTGTGTGTTTGTTTATCGTGTACAGCTTGCAGATATAAATTGCACCTGCAGAAGACACAGACACCCCCCAACAGCCCCTCGACTTTCAAGGACTAGGCTGGTCTCATGAATTTCCAGATGGCCCACTCTTCAGCGTCGCAAGGAGCATGAGACATAGGACCAGCCTGTGAACATTCATTGCTCTCAGACCCACCTCATGAGGTTCTGGAGGAGACCTCGGCCCCCACTTCACATCCCTGCACCATCCGGCTGCGTCATGGGCTGTGTGTCGCAAGCAGGCCTCTCTGTTCTTACACTCTGTGTTTATAACATATTCTGTTTTTATCAAGGGAACTTTCAAAAATAAATGCATTTTACACAAAACTCTTCTCAATGGAACTCGTTTTTGCTTTATGTAGGAACCATTTACTTGTCATCCCTTCTTGTGTTTTGGCCACACATTGTGGCGTTCAAGAGATTTGCCCTGCATCATTCCAGTGGCCAGAAAATGTGCCAGCCGCTGGGGTACACCATCTCTAACTCAGAGTTATGTTTCCTTTTTACAAATGAGGAAATTCAGAGGCTTAAGAAGGTGGGGTGATCTGTGCGAGATCATAAATAAGTAGCAAAAGTAGCTAAATCAGGATTCACACTTGCTGCGGCCCCACACCCTTGTCCTTTCTCCTGGACTCCATCAATGGACACACAACAGCCTCACTCATTTACCAACAGACAAGCTGCACACACGTCCTTGTGTTGCACAGCGTGCTTTTCTCTGCCCTGCCCCTTCCCTCCTCACAGCAGTGGTTGAGCCCATGAGTCTCATTGCGGCTGGACCTGACCGTTGTCTGAGCTTTTCTGAGAGCCAGGCAAAGAATACAATTGCAATGGGTCTTTCCTGAGGGGAGGACATGACTGGGGAGCTGATCCTGTCACCAGCAAGGGGAAGAAAAAGGATCCTGTGGAAGCCTCTGTTACATGAGTGTCGCTGCTAGACCCTTCCGGCTACTGTAACCCACTTTTTAACCCTCACTAATACCCAGCAAGCTGAGTATCACTACCCCCATTTTACAGCCAGGGAAGCTGAGACTCAGAGAGTTTAAGTAACTTGCCTGCTGTTGCACCTCCTATAAGGGGGGAATCCTGGCTTTGAACCCGGGTCTCCTGACTTTAGGAGACCTTGTCCGCCATGAGACATCTCATTTCCACCAAATGCAAGTGAAGTCTGCTGTGCAGTTTCCCATCAGCGTGCAGCACCACAGTGAGCAGGGACCTTTGCGGGCTGCACTTCCTCCAGGGGGCGGCTGTGTACCAGCCCCCTGGAGGAAGTGCCATAATGGCTGCCAGTTGGCCATATGGCTGCATTAGCGGATATGCACAAGTAAGCCATTCAAATGCGGGCGAGAAGAGTTGTTGGGGCCAGCTTTCCCCTCAGAAGGCCCAGTGAGCAGAGAGAGGATAGGGAAAAAGCAGTGATTTTTACACGCAGGGTAGTAGGGTGGAAAATGCATGATCTTCGGTGTAAGCTGACTTGAGTCAAATCCTGCTCTGCTACTTGTGAGCTGTGTGTTCTTGGGCAAGTCATTTGACTTCTCTGAACTTTGTTTTTTCCATCAACAAAATGATGATAAGAGTCCCTTCTTGTGAGGATTAGATGAAACTGGACCTGTAAAGTGCTTGATGGTGTGGGCCTGCCATATCTATGTCCTTCTCTACCCCTTGAAGGTCACCCATCTGCTTTTCTGATAATTTCCTGCTTTTGTAAGGGCTCTGCTAGAATTATGCATGGTCGAAAGTAGATTGCACACAAGGATTTCAAAAAATAGCTCAAAATTATGGGCTGAAGCCTGATTGAAGAGGCTATTAACAACAACAGGAGGTGCCCAAGCTATTCAAAATGCAAGATTTGAACCTAATAGTAACTCCTTGTGTTAATAGACAGAGAAAGACTAACTATTGATTTACTTTTTTTAAACTCACTGCACAAGAAACAAGAACACGTGTTGGGGAAAGCCTGTGCTTCTGGAATCAGGTAAATAGGGTTTAATTCCTGGCTCTACAACTTTTGAGCAAGTCACTTTACCACTCAGAACCTCAGTCTCCTCATCTGCAAAGCAGAGGTCCTAATAACCTGCTTTAGAGTTAGGACATCATAAAGAGTACAGATATTGGATATTATGTCCACAGTGTCTGATTAAATGTTGGTGCACAATACGTGTATCTTGTTCATTTTATTATATTTTTACGTATTCACAAAATTGAGCTTTGTGGTTCCTTTCATGCCTGTTACCACTCTAGGTGAAGACAGTGACCTTTCTAGAAGGGCTGTACCTGCCACAATACATGGAAGCCAGCTCAGAAGAGAGAAGCTCCATGGAACTTGAACTGAGAGGACTTGAGCTCAAGTTTGGGCTCCATTACTCACAAGCTGGATGAAGCTGAGCATATTGCTAAACCTCTCTGAGGCTCAGCTTCTAGTGGATTCTGTCTTCTAAGAGTTCAGCCTAGTTGAGTTGACAGACACAAAAATAAATATTTGTTAAACGCAAGAGAGAAAACAGATATGTGAAAGTCATGCTGTGGGCTTTTGGAAATGAGATCCAACCTGACTGGGGATATCTGGGAACAGCTTTATGCTCATGACCCCAAATCTTTATCTCCAGACCGGACGTCTTCTGGGGTTTCAGATGCTTATGTCTGCAGCTTTCTGGACACCTCCTCCTGGACACTCACAGATGCCTCCACCTGCGTGTCCAACCCTGAACTCATCAGCTTCCTATGAAACCTATTTTACTCTGGATGTCTCCTCTCTGAGTGGAGACAAAGATGATGACCAAATCTTGCTCATTGTACCACTGCATTAGCCTTAACATCTATGCCCTCCTCCTCCCCTCCAGTCCTGCCCAGGCCAGTGTATCATCATCTCTCTCCTGGAGGGTGCCAGCAGCCTCCGTCTCTCCAGGCCAGCCCCAGCCAGTTTGTTCCACGGTAGCCATATCTGCCTAAGTCACTCCCTTACTGAAAGACCTCCAGAGACTTTTCATTGCCTACAAGACCTCCGTGAATTGTCCTCTGATTACTTTCCTAGCCGTGTCCATAGAGGAAGCCCCTACTTTCCAAGGAGCCATTGAGTGGCCATGTGACACAAGGGATAAGGTGGATCTGGGTTTGCCTCCTGGATCTGCCATTGACTGTGTAGCCCTAGGGAAGCCACCTAACTTTTGTGACCCTCTGTTTCCTCACCAGTTTTAAAGAATTAATGAAATGATATGTATTATATGCCTGAGACAGGGAACACACAATAAATGTTAGCTATTATTAACTTAGAAAGTCTTTAAACACAGGAGTCACATGATCCGATTTGTTTTAGAAAGGCGATGCCGAAGGCCTGGTAGAGGATGGACCAGAAGAAGCAGCAGTTGTTTGGGCTTTTCATTGATTTCTGTTCTCCAAGGTGCAGCTCCAGGTAGAGAGTGAGGAGATCCAATTCTGCTACTGCCGTGTGTGCATCATGGCTTCTCTGCCTTCATTTGCCAAAAGCAGCATCAGCCACTACACCACCAACAACAACACTAACACCATTACTCTTGAATTTGCCTTCTCTGGGTCAGGCACATCACTTGAAGCTTTATCTAAATTTTTTCTGGTCAAAAAGACCAGGAAGAGGAGATGTTTTTCTCATTTGACAGATGACAAGCTATGAAATGACTTACTCATTATCAATGTATGTGGCAACCACAATGTCTCACCTACCCAGTGGCACTTGCCCTTCCTCTCTAATTTTATAGCACCCCGGCTTCCTTTGGGTGGTACTGTGCTCAGGGGAAGGGGATTCCTTCTCCAGCCCCAGAATATGAACCACTGGTTTCCAAAGTTTCCTTACAGGCTGTGAGGTTGATGCTAACAATCTCTGCCTTTTAACTGGGTATTTAGACCATTATATTTAATGTATTTGTTGATATAGTTGTACTTGCATTTCAGTTGACCAAATTGCTGTTTAGTTTTCTATTCTTTGATTTATTTGTTCTCTTTTTCCTCTATTCCTCCCCTTTTTGCATTAAGTGAGTATCTTTTACGATTCAGTTTTATCTTCTCTGTTGTATTATTATCATACCTCTTTTTTTAGAGGCTGCCCTAGGGTTTACAATATACATCTTTTACTTGTCATACTCCACCCTCAAATACTATTATGTACCTTCACGTGCACTGTAAGAATCTTGCAACAATATACTTCACTTTCCTTTTCCATTCTTTCTGCTATTGTTAATCATATTTTGCTCCTGTTTGTGTTAAACTCCCACATACACTGATATAATTTTACTTTTAATATGCAGTTACCTCTTAAAGAGATTTAAGATGAGAAAAATGTATTTTATGTTTATGCAAATATTTACAACTTCTGGTGTTCTTTTTTTTTTCTTTTACGTGGAGCCATATTTCCATCTTGAATCATTTTCCTTCTACAGAAAGAATGCCTCATAATATTTCTTCTAGTGCAAGTTTGCTGATGATGAATTTTCTCACCCTTTGTGTCAAAAGTCTCTTTATTGCCTTCATTTTTGAAAGATATTTTTACTGAGTATAGAATTCTGGGCTTACAGTGTTTTAAATTTTTTCTTTCACTACTGTAAAGATGTCACTCTGTCTTCTGGCTCACATTATTTCTGATGAAGTGTTTGTTATATTGGCTTAATGTTCCTCTCTATATATGTGTATTTCTTCTCTGGCTGTTCTTAAATTTTTATTAAAACAACCATTTTCTTTATCTGAGATTTTCAACAGTTTGACCATAGTTGCCCTTCGTGTGGTTTTCTGCTTGGAGTTTGTTAACTTTTCGGTTCTGTGTAGTTTTCATCAAATTGTAGAAAATTTTTGGTCCTTATATATATTTTCAAATAATCTTTTAGTTTCTCTTTCTCTCTCCTCTCTTTTGGGAACTCCAATTGCACCTATGGGAGTCCACCTAATATTGTCCAAGGTCACTGATGCACTGTTTATTTTTTTTGCATTC